AGGGAGGACCAGTTCAATCTACACTTTGATCAACATGTGTCATTGGGTTATACTTGTTCTTTTTATTCACTTCACCTATCCAGTGTATAGGTTTTTCTCATAGTGACCATAAAATCTATTAAAATGTATATATATATATACAACACATACACATATATACTGTTTAGTACAGGCGTTATTATGTAATGTATTTTGTGAGTTAATATTTAATGACTGTTTAGTTTTTTCATAACAAGATAGTTAAAAGTTATTCATTTTAAAGGCGATAGTTATGACGAGTTTTGTTACGTAACTTGGTAAGAGTGGTACACTGTGTTTGCAATTCATTGTTGTAGAGGCTTTTACTAATATTGTTGACGTTACGTTACTCGAATCTCTAGTATTTTTCCCGTTATCTTTAAGTGAGCATTGTTAATTTAGCACTGTTCGCGCACTTTAGAGAAAGTTATGTAGACCTCAGTAATCAACATATAAATAGCGGCGACCAAACGAGCGCAAGTCCTAAATCAGCCGTTTATTTTATTTTATAAAATTGATCAGGGTATTTGCTTCGCATGTAGACCAATTTTCATTATTTACCTAATCAGTTAAGTCCTTTCTACTTCCTTATACTAAGTTCATATTACTTCCTAATCCTTGAGCAGGGCGAAGAAGGACTGATTAATCTTCGAACACCCCTGATAATTAATTATATATTTTAATAATTAACTTCATTTAATAGAGATAAGGAGAATAATTTGTCTTGTCAAAGGGTGTTCTACAGTAATTCAACCTCTTGTGTGGACTTTAACGAAAGGAGACAATTATTTAAGGTTCGAGATACAACTGTTGTAACTCACAGGGTAGCATAAGTGAATTATTCACTGATACTGTTGTGATAAAAGTAGAAAAAGATAATTCGTCTTGTCAATTGAATTCTAAAGTAATTGAATTAGCCTAAGTAGACTCTTGACAAGAAAAGGAGAATCATTTAGAGTTTGAGATACAACCATATCCATGGTGTAAATAATTTTTGTACATAGTTTGACTTGTTCTGAATATATTATTTTAAAACAAGTGGATTGTGTGCTGTTCTTTATTGTCGAATTTATCGCCAACAAGTCAGATACCTAATATGGAAGAATCCTCAGCACTCGTATACTAAAACCCTGACATATACCAACTCATTTTACAATATTAATATAAATAATGCATTTACAAACAACATTACCATATTTGTGACTGTAAATATTAAAATAATATTTTACCAAGTGTCTGGAAATTAAGAGCCACCATCTGACAGCCTGCATTCCAAAATACCTGAAACAAAATTATGAGAGTATTCATATATTGGAAGTTTACAGATGATCTACATACAGGCAAGTAGTGCTGGCTCATTATTTGTTAGATGCTGGATGTCCTAAAGCTAAAGACAGCTTGGAGGTCATAACACATTACAATTAAAGCAAAAATAACAATTTTATGTTGCACATTTTTAATAAATATCTTTAAAATTCCAGAGCTAATATGTATCTGTTAATTTTGATAGTATTCATAATTTAGTCATCACAAACAACCACTGCAAGTGGGGTTTCTCGTATTAATAATATTCAACAAGATTTGGAAGAAAAGGAAATGCATATCAATGAACAAGATTAGGAGATAAAACTAGGTTCAAGTTTTTATTCAATAACATTTTCAGTGGATGCCCTTTGTCAGATTTGACTGTCCAGCATTCTGTCAGGCAGTTAAGCCTGATGAAGGCCATTTATTTTTGAAACATTGCATTCTGACAGACAATCACACCTAATGAAGAGCATTCACTCAAAATATTGCATTCTATCAGGCAGTCAAGTCCCATTAAGGACATCTACTCAAACATTGCATCCTGTCAGACAGTCAACCTGATGAAGGACATTCACTCAAAATTTAGATGTGTATCATAACCTTGTTTATTCACATGACTAGGATTGTGGACTTACTGGTACTGAGATATATAGAAACTGATACACCTAACATTAGATGTATAGAGACACTGGTAAAAAAAAAAAGAGTTTAACAACAATGGCTAAATACATTCAAATGTATGTTTTCCAGTCCCACAAATTGTTGTTAATGGCTTCCCTTGTATCTTGCCCTCAAATAGTTAAGAAGTACCATACCTGAGGCATATAATTGCTGGAATCTACCCTTGTTCCTCGTGGATAAATTCTGCTTAATTGCCGTTTGTTATAACTGTTCAATATAGTTAAGTATTCTTTGTCAAAAAATAATAAAAATGCACACATAAGGCTTTCATTGTATTTTATTTACGTTTTGTAAGGCAGATTGTATCATCTTTCTTCTACAGACTTAACGTTAGACCTTGAATTTCAATACTAAATGTATGAACCTTTTATTAATCTGAAAAGTAAATAATTCATGGTTAAAGAGAATGTTCAACACACCAAACCATGAGTTAGAATCAAATAGAGCTCTGCATATTTCTTGTGATGCACCTCCAGTGCTTTCCTGTTTCAGTAACCTTTATATTAATATAAATCTAAGACAGAATATGAGAATGTGGTTAGTGTTATGTCCTTCTAGAAGTGGCAACTAATTTGTATCCTTAAAATAAATAGAGGGAAATAATTAAAAAGTGTACATACATGCATCAGTTTAGAAACTTGAAATATTATGTTAAAAGGATACTTGACAAATTCTACTGGATGTTCTTTCAGAAGGTTTGTTGCTTGAGTCTCAACAAAGGAAGACACTTCATTGCACCGATTTCTTCCTAAAATGCAATAAGCTTTGTTGTCAAATATCACAGTTCCATCATTACAAAGAAACAACAAACTTGAGTCTCAACATCCCTCTGACAGATGTATTTCTGTTTTATATATAATGTTTGGTTATATTTTTACTAAATATTAAATGTCTTTGTGACAAGAATATTCAAGCCAGTATGGAAAAACATTAACTAACAAAGCATTTTTAGTATATTATAGTTTTATTATGATATAATTATACATAGTGTGACTGTAATAAATGTTTAAAATTAATGTTATGTTCCGCTAAAAATACCTGTAATCTTTTATTTTCAAATCTTTTTCTAATTATATATCTTGTATTTTGAAATAAATTTTACAGAATTTCATATATGTTTAAATATAATAAGCTAAATATTTGTAATAAAATGAAATTTTATACAAGCTAAAATACTAATTCTATCAATTTAGCTACCATCATTCTAAGTCTCAAATAAAAGTTTAATATTAATAACTTTAAAAGTATCAGATAATGTTTGATATATCAAAATATTAATCATTGAACAACAACAAACAAATTCATTAAACTTAACTAACTTTCTGCATGTTCGAAGGAGTAAAAGCGTACAGGTTGAACATAGTTAACAAGTGCTGACATCTCAGCTCCAGCTTCAGATTCTTTTGTACCCTGAAAATAATTGTTTCTGAGTTTAGTTTACAAGTATTTAAATTCTAAATAATTTTGAAAAAAAGACTAACAAAAATTTGTTCTAATAAGTAATTATGAAAAAGAAAACTACCATTGGGATGTGAAAAAAATTAGACATGAAAATACAGGAGTACCTCTTCTGTTTGTCGATAATGGTTTTCATCATCTTCTCCACCAGAATCAAGAATGCTGTCTTCCCTAATGCAATGAAAACTTGCAATCTTTGAAGAGTTGCTTTCAGTTCTTTCTACTGAAGAATTCATAAGAGAGATTATCTTTTCATTATTCTCTTGATGGATAATTCCAGTTATATCAAGGTCTAGGTTTTCTAAGCCATCATTATGGGCTGGGAGGATGTGTTCAGGTGAGAGAGAAAATGATGATTCTTCTTCTTCATGATGTACATTATTTTGTTCTAAAAATAAGTCCTCAAATAAGATAGAATTTTAAAATTTTATACATAAAATACGTTATTTATAAAAATTATTTCCAAAAAATAAATTAGAATTGCTAAAATATTTCTGTTTTTTAAGTAACAGTTTAACAAGTTATTAAAAAGTCTATAAAGGCAAAAGACACTAAGATGTACTGCTGCATCATATGAAAGGCACTATATTATCATTGAAGCTATAAAATTATTCATTCATGTTTTAGGCCTCAAAGTTAAGCCATAATATGAGCAATAATTCAAACCCTTGATAGAAAGAGACTCCTAGTTATATTTTCTGAATTTTATAACAATGGACATAGAAAAATTATTAATATTACATTTACTGTATTTCCAAATTAACTATAAAAATGCAAGAAAAAGTATGAAATTCTTACCTAAGGAGTATCGTTTTCTTTTATTTTTAATTAAAATTTTTCTGAGCAACTGATTAGGTGAGGGTAGAGGGTGACCTGGTTTTAACTGAAATAAGAAAGGTGGTTCATCATGAAATTTTACATAACCAAATTCTGGAAAATATATATTTTAATTTATTAAACTACTAAAAATAACTTGTATTACAGTAAAATGTTTAATATTAAATAGGAGTAGAAAACAGTTTAATTCAACACCGAATTTCAAACCTAACTAAAATCTAAAACCTTCACTGTGTTGATAATGAAACACAAGAGTTTATAAGAGTGATTTGCACATTGTGATACAGTGTTGTGTGCTACAAATACAACTCATGGAAACACATATAAATTGTTTAACATTTACATATTTGATTCAAGGTGAAGTTCTAACTATTAGACAGTGCAATATATTCACAGACCTTACTATGGAAAGATAATTTTATATAGTTACATGATGTAGAATCAAACGACACAATATTTTGAAGAAGCACAAAGCCTTCTTGTACTTCAAGGAAATTGAAAAACTCACACAACAAAGCATTTAAGTCATGAACAAATTCCAAAACCACATTCTAAATTAAGTCCTCAAAATAAAGACTATGATAAAAAAATATAAACCTTTTTATTCAAATAGCTATCGTAAAGAAGTTGGGTATATCTTTTCAATACAATTAAAAGAATAATAAACAAGGTTACAAAGCTGACAAAGGCTCACAAGCCAAAAACTAACAAGATTCTATCCACACCTCAAAATCAACAGCTGAGAGAGATGGCTAAACAAATTGAAATCCCAGCAATATCCTATTTGACCTGTCAAGCTGTCCTTCAGTTAAGCATGATCAAACCTTTGTACCTTAAATGCAGTCTTGGAAGCTGATGTCTCATTTAATGGAGGATCTGTGGAAAGTTTGTCAACATTTGTTTTAAGGTTAATCTTGACATCCTTCACAGAAACTTGTTACAATGCCACTTAATGTGTTTAGCAATAGTGTGTGACAATGGCCATCAGACCGAACATGATTAATGATGGTGGAAGTAGAGCCTAAAGCAGAAAGGGACCTAGAATATCATTCTTAAGGTTTCAGTAATTCTGTTAGAGTATTCAACTGCTAAAATCATTATACATTTAACAGAGTATTACATCACCATTACCAGTTTTTAAAGTAATATATATATATATAAATATCATTACTGATGCTTAAGGAATATTCTGTGTATCATCTCACCATTACTAGCATTTTAAATTGTGTCCAGTGTAATAAGAACATACCATTACTAATGTTTAAAGTTACAATTATCAGTTTCTAAGTAGTACTTAGAATATTATGATTTTATAATTATTGTTTAAGTAGTATTAAGTGTATTATATTATCATTACTGGTAGATAAACAGTGTGTTAAATGTATTGCATTATCGTTATCAGTGTTTAATCAATGTTTGGTATACTACATTATAATTATTAGTGTTCAATAAATGTTAAATGCACTATATTATCATTACTAGTGTTTACTGAGTTTAAATGTATTACATTATATCATCACTAGTGTTTAATTGATATTAAGTGCACTAAGTTATTATTACTAGTGCTTATTCAGAGTAGTTTATTACCTTATTATTACCAATATTTAATCAGTGTTAAGTGTACTACATTATCATTTCTGTGTTTAATCAGTGTTAGTGTACTACATTATCACTACCAGTGTTTAATCAGTGTTAAATGCACTACATTATTACTACCAATGTTTGATCAATGTTATGTGCACTAAATTATAATTATCAGTGCTTATTCAATTGTAAGTATATTACTTTATCACATTATCATCACTAATGTTTAATTCTTTTGTGTATTACATTATTATTACTAGTGTTTAATCCTTGTTAAAGGCACTAAATGATGATTATTACCATGTTATGTGTACTACATTATCATTTGTAGTGTTTCATAAATGTTAAGTGCATTACATTATCACTACCAGTGTTTAATTAGTGGTAAGTGTGCTGAATTATCATTATGAGTGTTTGTTCAATGTAGTACATTATCATTAAAGTGCTTACAGTGAAGCACTTGCAGTGTACAGTACCCTATAAAATTTCTAGCTATAATGTGATTCTAGCAGTATCATGATTAGTCTGTTCAGATGTTTTTATGATAGCATCATAATTACTATAGATACAAGTACCTTTTGCTCATTTCAACAAATATAATCTATGAATCAATATTAGATACATCATAGTGTTAGTATTTTTGATCTTTATATCTTGTCATCTTTCTGAAGATTGTTAATCATAATATGAATTTGAATAATGCATTAATGATATATTGTTTATGAGTTTGTTTAAAATGTTCACATCAAGCTAAACAAAGGCATGCTTTTGCAGCAATGGGATGCAAACCAAGAACTCTCAGATTCATAGTCTGGGGACATTAATATAGTCACACCCAACACATGTTGAAATTATTCCCAGGATGCAAACCAAGAACCCTCAAATTCATAGTCTGGGCATATTAACTACTAACTACACCTAATCCATACTGTTGAAATGATTCATCTGAGATACATTTAGTAACACTATTTAAATTCTGTATCAACCAAATTAAGGCACATACATGACGTATGATTAGTATATCCTGCACATATTCTTTTAGTTCAAATACCTCGAGATTTATAGAGGTAGAGTATGTTACTACAGTCCATGTCACTATGTCTGGTCATGCTCTATCTGATAAATGTGCATCTTGAAAGGTTATATCATACAACTGTTTTGTCCAAAGTACACCACTTCTCCCTGACTTTTGATAATTCATAATAGTTTATTAGGATTATGGTTTTCCAGAAACTGCATGAGCAGTCTGATTGGAGAGAAATCCATAAGTGCTCTTTCTGGCAACTTGATTGGTATGTCTTCAAATGAAATAGCATGAATACCCACTTCATTCTCCAGCTGCTTCAAGTATGTGATGGTTACAAACAGATATGTCATGGAAGCAGCTTGTATGCACTTGACTTGTATCGCTTTTCTAGATGGAGATCCTTCTTGATTATATTGCTTATTTTGGCCTATATATATATATATATATATATAGTAGGTACGTACGTAGAGTAGTCTTTACGTACCTAGTTAGTATTCGTTTGTTGTTGTTTTAGTAATTCTACTACTTAGTTAACTAAACGTACTACTACTTTCGTACT